TAGCGCTTATTTATTTGTATTTAGAACCGCTAACTTGAATAATAACCCCTGGCAGCAGTGTAAAAGTAGCCTGGAGTCAGACGCACCTCTGCCGCATTGACATCCGCACGTCACACGTGTATGATCGCGGGCGCGATTTGGAATCACAAACTTGGCTGCACAGGGGGACTTTAACAACTCTGTTCCACTGGCTATGCATATTCCCAAGGATGACAGAAATACCTTTTATTCATAAAGATTGGCTCTCAGTGATAAATATTCCCAGCAATGGCTAAACTTATTTAATGTCATTTTCTTGGTAAAGCTGCTACTCACCACAAGAATAGCAAAGTATGTGAGATGATTACAGCAACATTCTGTCTCTGTGTCGTGGATTTGAACAGTCTCACAGCCGTCATATCTCCAGGTCACTTCATTATCTGCAGAGACACATTAACAGAACAGTCAGTAATTGTGCTTCAGCTAGCATCGAAACATTTGCTTGATGTCTAACATTTGCTTGAAGACTTGAGCGCACCTCGTCTTGTGTCCCATGAAACACAACTTCTAGAATGGTTAGGCTGTGAAATGAAATAGAAGAGGTTAGGATAAATGCATCTATAATCAGTTCAAAGAGAGTGGCTCAGCACATACAGTACAGAGATTTATCATTGCTATTCTGTATGAGTAAATGAGGCCCTTGCGATTTAAATGCCAAAAACAACATCAACAGTTTGATTTTTATCCGGCTTCACCTCACCAGCCTTGTCATGTGGTTTTCAGTGTTAAGGAAATTACATATAGTTAGTCTACTCAGTAAAAAATGATGTGAGCTATAGTTGGTGTTAAGCTTATAAATAGCCTTTTAATATCACAACAAATATGAAAAAACTAAACATGCTCAAAAAGACGTACTGGGAGAGCAGAGTGATGAAAGCTGATTCTGACAGGTTCTGGGAGGTTTTTGATGATCTCGTTCTCCACAGAGAGTCCAACTATGCCACCCAGAAGATCTGCATTAGACGATCCCCTCTACACAACACATATAGTGAATCGAATCGTGAGTTGAGTGAATCGTTACATCCCTAATTGCTATATATGTTGGTTGGCTAATGTAAGCTAAATAATCCACATGATTTATCTCTGCTTGACAAATATTGTCATACCTGGAACAAGGTCTTGTTTTGGTAGTAAGTACACACCACTTTGGATGTGCTCCTTGATTGGGATTTCAGACAGGAGGGAAGATAAACGGAGGGTATCATGTTTGGTGCGACAATTCGAGGAGCCTGGAATACAACATATATATTTATTCATATGCTAGAAAGAGAGCTTCCTGTGACTCAAAGTACTCTCATTGGCTGAAATCTCAATTTCCTTACAGCCTGTTTTCAAATAAGATTTCAGATTTCGGGATGCGTTGCCATGGCGCCATGTTCCACACATCTTAAAGTCTCTGTCATTCTCCATTGCTGAACAAAGTATAGTAAAAATAAATAACTAAATAAATACATGTTAAGCTGCAAACTTTGTTGATTTAAGAATTCTAAAGATATTTTTAACAAACTATCCAAACTATCACGTTTTTGCAGTTGTCAGGTATGCATTTTCATTATAAAAATAGAATCATTAAACAAGATACTAATAACAATGTGCAGCTAGTACATTTCACTTCATCAGTAATAACCTGATGAACCTTACCTTGACCCAAAATTAACAAAAGGCAGGTGATTATCCACATTCTTACAGACTTTAGATTCTGCTCCATTGTAGCTCATAGATGATGCCTTAAAAGCAAGAGAGAACTCCGTTAAAGAGAAATAAAACAAAATACACAATGACATGCCTCAGTAGAGCCATGCAACAGCACCCAGGCTACCTTTGTGTCAAAACACTTTCAGAAATGTCTCACACATATTCCTGACACTGTATGCAATAAGCAGTTTAACAGATGTGTTGCAGATTTTGTCAAAATGTTTGTATTTTGTCAACTCAGTCTGGTGAAAGGAAGTATGTATGTGCACATTTGCTGTTTAGATATTGTCATTGCTCTATATTGTTTTAACAACACAGCAGTTATTTTATGTTAGTATCTTTTTTATCTCACCTATCTCTCTTACACTTCATGTTATGCACGCATTGCTCAATTCCATAGTAGTTTTGTAGTTCAAGAACTCATCTCATTATAGTAGCAGCAGTGGTTAAAGCACATTAAGTAGTTTCATCTTCAGACCAAATCGAGTAGCTGCAGGTGTTGTGTTTTGCATAATGCCTGCCACAACAGGTTGACGCATGTTTGTGCTCGAAGTCGGTAAATGCAGGAAAGCCACAGTGGTGTCTGATCTTAACAGTGTGCTATATTCTCCTACAGTTTCATTTCAACTAGTTTGGCTCATATCTCTGACAGATGTAAAGGTCAACACGCAGAAAAGCGAAACGGCAGATCTGCGCTATATAGGTAAGAACTAATTAAAGTGTTGAAGCACTTGACCCTGTGTTACCCACAGACATAAACTTATTTGTGAAATTGGCGTACTGCACTGATTAAAGAAATAGTTTCACCAAAAATGAAAATTCGCTGAAAATGTACTCCAAGATGTGTTTGTTTCTTCATCGGAACAGATCGGGAGAAATTTAGCATTACGTCACTTGCTCACAAATGAATCCTCTGCAGTGAATGGGTGCCGTCAGAATGAGAGTCCAAACAGTGGATAAAAACATCCCAATAATCCACAAGCAATCCACAGGGCTCCAGTCTATCAATTAACATTGTGTGAAGTGAAAAGCTGCATGTGCGTAAGAAAATATCACAGTTTTCTGGTGTCTGCATAGTCTGTCACCAAAGTGAGAAAAAAAACATCAGCTTTTAACACTCAAATTAGCAGAAGTGACTTGGGGATCTGTTGTGTGCTTCAATGACCCGTGCTGACTCAGGTTAGAAAACATGCCATTCAATGTCTGACTCATCCACTGTCACTGGCTGGGTGTTTTAGCACATTGGGACTGACAGTGTATTATGATTCATTTTACAGTAGATCTGAGACATGCTCTTTGTCTTGAGTGTGAGAAGTGTATTGCTACACAAAACAAAACAAAACAAAGTTTGTGACAAAGATGGCATCATATCTGTGTGCTGCACTGAATATGTGCATTTGCATTATCATCTTAATAGTCCCTTTGTCACAAAATAAAGTCTGTTCTCATGGATAAGAGATGGCAGTTGCAGCCTAGCATGCATCAGAATGTATTTTTACCCTTGCATGTATGTGTTCTCATTGATAAGGGCCCAGGAATAGAAGTTTTACTAGATGGCTGCTTCTTTATCACAAGCATAGTGAGAGATGGTAAGGAAGGTTTTTGTTTTACAGATAAGGATGTGTCTTTTACTAAAATGAGGTGGTAAGAGGAAGGAACAGACAAGATATTGATAACTTGATTGCCTATTCTAACACTGTAGCAACAAATATTCTTGGGTTGAAGGGAAGTTGCCTATTTCTAAAGGAAATGTTAATATGCAATTTAGACATATTGGACACTATGCCCAGTTTTGACAGGGGATTCCTTTTCAAAATGAAAAAAAAGAAAGAAATCAAAACAAACTAAAACCTTATAACGAAAACAACCTACACAACAACAGTTGGCATCTTCTTGCCTTGTGGTTATTCATTTGGTTTCATAGTTTTTCCACCCACACTGGTCACCGGATACTACCAGGCCCCAACAACATGTTCTTAAAATGCAGATGAGCAAACTACTTGGATGCAAACTATTAATCAATCATACTTTTTTTTTTTCAAACATATCCAATGCAGTTCATTGTGTTTTACAAGCAAAAACCAAAAATGGAAAAAATACAAGCAATGAAAATAAGACAAATATATAACAAAATATTAAAATGTTAAAATAAAAAATCCCAAATGTACATAACTGATAAGAAAGAGAAAAAAACTAAGAAGAAATACAATTATTTCAAAGAAAAAACATAAAATCTGAGCTGCTAAACAGAAAATTCTGGGAATGTCACTTGACATTTTTCCACTGTAAATGATAAGATAACTTGTTCTTTTTCACTTCCACAAATTGCACATTTAACAGTATTTTACAGTATTTTTTCAAATCACATGAAATGTCCACTTAGATTGTGTCTTCAAAAATTATGGTCATTTTTTACAGAATATGTATATGCTGTACTTCACTGAAATGGGAAACAAAAAAAAAATAGAAATTGTGTCTTTGTCCAAACATGTTAGCAGTGCATGTATAAAGATGATGGCTAAATGGGGTTATAACAGAGCAGGCTACTGACTACCACTTAGAGTACCCAGTTCCTCCATGCTATGTTTGAGAAGGGTGCGTCTATGCCCCCGCCCTTTCTGGCCCTCTCTCCCTCTGCCATTGTTCCAGCTATGTGGACCTCACAGCAGTCAAAGAATGTCCCTTTTCTCTCCAAGCACCACTGAAAGGAAGCTGGTGAAGTCCATTTATTCAAAGGAGGAGCGTTGCCAGTTTTAAACTGTGCACATAAAAGAATTTTTGCTCAAATTCATAACATTTTCTCGCCCTTACTATGCTATTTCCCACTCTACAGCCATTAAAAACAAACCTCACACGATCATATATAACACTTCCTCTTTTAATTATAATGACTGTGTGGAAAATTGAGTTGCAAACTCATGAGCCTCCGCTCCTGCTACCGAAATTTTTCTTGTGCTGATAAAATCTAAACATGAGATTCAACATGTTTTGAAGTCCTACCTAAGCCTCAAGAGAGACAAACCACAGAAGACTTGCATTTCTAGAGCATTTCCATGACCAGTGTTGTGTCTAGAAAAGCTAACAACCCGCACAGAACAAGAATGTGAACTTTGAGATGAACTAGGTCAATCTATTGTGCTTTTCCTTTGTGACATCACTGCCAGACAAAAAAGCGAAAGGCCTTTCAGCTCGCTTCATTCTGAGCTGAACTGACAAGTAGCAGGGACTGAGGGCAAAGGTCTTTCAACAATTCAGTGCTAAGTTGCATTACAGCAAAAAAACTCGTTGACATTTAGTTGCACAGATCAACCACCATGGTTCAGAAAGGAAAACCAACATTACAAGACATGAAGAGAAGTTAAAACATGTCTGATTGCAATTTAATAAGCATTAAAACACTCATTTGTGGTTATAATTGGTGGTTGTATGCTTAATAGCCACCAGTTCTTTAAGAAAGTGCTTTATAATTCTAAAGTCAGTTTACATTTGCATTGTGCCCTCTAATATGCAAAAATAAAGCATATGTCAGTAGTAGGCAAAGGCTCAATCTTCTCAGTCAGTTATATAGAAGGCATAAAGGAGCATTCCTTTCCATTGAGGTGTACTGACTGGGGGGGGGTTACAGGATTGTCGAGGGTTTCACTAAAGCACACAGTCTCAGTGTGTCTTTGATTTGTTCATAGCCTCAGAGTAAATATGTGGCTGCTGCTCCTCCACCTGCGCTCCAATTTCCCCAAGGAGCTTCTTGTCTCATATATTACAGCAGTCAGTGTAAAATGTTGAAAACAATGTGAAAATAGAGAGAAATGCATGTAGAAAACTGAAAAACTGCATGTTTATCTTATCAAGGTTGAAGTGTGTGCTGTTCAAATCTAATCCTATTAAAGGTTATTGCATGTTATGTGTTACATGAAGCTCATTAACATGGTTTATCTGACATAATTTTAACATATTTTAGCCATTTGACAGTTTCTTCTATTAACGCAAATACAAAAACCCAGCCCATTTATGACAATACAAAAGAATGTTGGGAGAGCGGGGCTAGTTGTCACAAGAGCTATACCTAAGGGTTTGATAAAACAAATGTTCAGTGGATTCATATATTGCTTTTAAACACTCAATTTTTTTGTGAAATTAATCCTTCAAACTAAAATGTCAATATCAATTAATTTTGCTATAGCTCTAAACAAGTGACCACAATGAAACCACACTACAGCATCCATTGAAAAGGAAAGGATAGAAAAATATATTTTTCATAAATATCACACCGGGGCAAGTTGTCACATTTTGTAGTAAAAGCTATCAAGAAGTTCTTATTGCTATTACTGTGACAATTTACCCCATATAGTGTGTAATAGCTTTGAGGGATTATGGAACAGCCTACACAGTCTATTCACCTACATCTCGGTTCATATTTTTGTAATCGGTTTAAACAGTTGTAAAAACATATAAAAGTAGCTAGTAAAACGTCTTTAGATTCTTTCAAAATGATATTCACGCGCACATTTTGTTACCAGTATCAGATATTCCAGGTCCAAATGTATGAAAACATAAAAATGTACACTCTTAACACCTTTCTCAAAGACCGTGTGATCTGACATCATATCATGTAACATATTCGCAAACATATAAAGAAATGGGCTTACCGTTCATAGACGAACGCAGAACACTTGCTATCTGCCTCTCGTACACAAAACACTCGCGTGGTTTTCGGGAAACGGTCGCTGTTTATTTTGCGGTAATGTTCCCGGTGAGACAGAACCTGTCAATACACGCGTAATATAAAACGAGTGGAAGAGCGATAAACGCAAGTGACTTTGGCACTCGCAGACTCCGCGCGCAGTGACTCAGTCCCTCAGAGCGTGTGAATACTCGACTGAAGGCGCTTGTGTCTCATTATCATGTAGTCATGCGGAAAGCGGAGGTAGTCTTTACTACTACGACGAGATCCTAGAAACACCCCACCACCAGAGGCGGTTACATGACAGCATGAAAAAAGCTGTCAAACGTATATTTTATAAACTGTTGTAAATACGATGATGCGATTGAAATAAATCTTAAAGCAAGCTTACGTCGTAGAAACCTACGGCCAGGTAGGCTTCAATATAGGTAGGCTATAAGGTAGGAGCGATGCCTGAGAACACTGGATTGAGTTTGCATAGTCAGGCTTTATTTTTGCATGAGAAACAAAAAAGCTAAGAAAAATTACCTTAATGCAAAAACAAGTCAGTATTGGCAACATGTCCTTTTCAAGGGCAACCTCTGTTGCCTCGGAATTTGTTACAAATTAATCCCTACAATAAAGTCATAATGTCCAGGATACTGATAAGATTGCATTGCTAGGTAGTGGACATGTAGGAGAGGGAGTGCTATACTGTGTGTGCGTGTGTGTGTGTGTGTGTGTGTGTGTGTTTGCTGTCTGTTGATCAGTTAGAGCACCTGGCTTCCTGTGCGTCTCAGCTGTTATTTCGACAGTGTTTATAAAGGCCAAGGTCTGACAAAGGCTTTTCTGTTTCTCCAGAAGACTGATGTTGAAAGACCATAAATAGTCAGACATTTACACAACATGTTTGATTTTGTTTGATACATCTCTCATTGCTGCTGTTAGAAATGATCAGTAATATCCCTTTGCAGAAATACAGCAGAAAGTACATGTATATTTATGCTATTATGTATAATAGCCTATATTTCAGTTTTGTTATATCACATATAATATGTTCAAAAATTTGGGGTCGGTAAGGTTTCTTTATGTTTTTTGGAAGAAGTCTCTTATGCTCACCAAGGCTGCAATTATTTGTTCAAAACTACAGTGAAAACAATAATATTGTGAAATATGTTTACAAAACAAGTGTTTTCTATTTCAATATATTTTAAATGTAATATAATCCTATGAGGATACTTTTTTTTTCTGAAACAGTCATGACTCCAGTCTTCAGAGTCACATCATTTTTCGGAAATCCTTCTAATATGTTAATTTGATGCTTAAGAAACATTTCTGCACTTAAAAAAAAAGAAATAAAAAAGATAATTTGCAATACATAAATGGAAAAAAGAATGCTGTGGTTAGAAAGATTAGTAATCTGTTGTATGATTTAAGTCATAACTCTTAGACAGACATCTTGATAAAGTGTAGCCCAGTAAAATGTAAAATGAAAAAAAAAAAATCCCATTGACCCATATTAGTCATAATACCTGTGTTTAATTCCAAATTATGTATTTATACATGACTAAAAGCTGTAAACTGGTCACCACATCCTGAAAATAACTAAGAATTTCCCTTTCGCTATTTACATGCATGGTTAAGCTATAGACAATGTGTAACTTGTTCCCCAAGAGGACATAAACTCCTTTCAATGAGGTTTCAAATTGGCACTGCAGCGTTTGTCTGAACTTGTACGCGGAATGAAAAAAGAAGAGACTTTTCACACAGCTCTAGTCTTTCTGTTAAGCATCTTATGCATCTTGTTTGCAAAGTTGTCAGTTTTATTGGAGTTTTAGGTCACAACAGCACCAATGTTGAACAGACCACTGCTTTACGATGACGGCATTAGGGGCCTCTGTCAATGTATTCACAGCATTTTTCACACCATGATTCTGCCTCTGAGCAATACAGCAGTGCATGCATACCTCAAAGAGATATTCTACTGCTCATGCACTTTTGGTACATCAGGTCATTCTCTAAAGTTTTCTTATATTTTGGCGTATAGCAACACGAAACAGATGGCAGCTAGTGCAGATGGTATATAGTGCAACGGCAACCAGCCAACAAAGGCAGTGGTTCTGCTCTTTTGTTGCCTCTCTCAGCCGTCGTGAAGCAGCGCTGACTCCCACTGTGTAAATCCATGGTGATCTCACAGGCCAGGGGAACTCCAAACTGATGTTTATAAAGAGAGATTAAGGGTACCAGCATGAAAGAGTTTTGCACTCATAGATAAACACAGACGCAAAAATGAAAACAGGTTCAAGCACACCCAAAAATGCTTCTGAACTGAATAATGGAAATAACTTTAAGGTGCTGGAACATAACACTATTCACTTGTCCTACACTCTTAAAAATAAATGTGCTTCGCGATGCCATAGAAGAACCTTTTTTGTCTAAATGGTTCTATGGTTCCAAAGAACCTTTAACATATAAAGAACCTTTCTGTTTCACAAAAGGTTCTTTGTGGCGAAGGATTCTTCATATTATAAAAAGGTAAAGAGATGGTTCTTTAAAGAACCTTTGACTGAATGGTTCTTTGTGGAACCAAAAATGGTTCTTCTATGGCATCACTGTGAAGAACCTTTTAAGCACCTTTATTTTTAAGAGTGTACACCAACTAGTTGTTCTATGTGAACTCTGAAACATTAAACATCTATGTTCCTGTTCTGAACACGAGGCTGTTTTGCTTAAACAAACACGAACATGCTTTAATATTTTACTTTCCTGTTCAGAATGTGTTTGAGTAGACTAGACTCCAAGTATTTGTGTATAAATAAGAGTGTGAGCCAGTTGAACCATCATTATTTATTATACATAGGATATTTTTCTCTGAAATGTTATTTTAAAGTGTAATATTTGTAAAATGAAATATGAACATATGGGGTTGTCTTCTTAAAAAATATTTTTTATTTATTTCTCTATTTAAAATAAAAAGTATTATTACATATATATATATATATATATATATATATATACACACACATATTTTAGAGGTATATATTGTGGGATATAT